GGGTGAGGGGGGAGGGCTGAGCTGGTCTTGGGCCCTCCAGTGGCTGCAGCTGCTGGTGGCTTGGGTTGGGCAGGGGGACATGGAAGGGCCAAGGCTGAGAGCCTTCACAGCAGTGGCTGAATGCCTCCATGGGCTGTGTTCTGGGGCCTTTGGTAACAGGGGCATGGAGCACTGGGGTTGCTGGGAGGCGAGCTGCTCTCTGCCTGCCCCCAGCCCCCTGAATAGCCATGCTGCAGCCTTACCACAGGCCAGTGCTGCTCACCCAACATCCATGGGCTTCCCCCTGCCACCCTCCCCCAACCAAAAAAAACAAAAAAAAAAACCACTCTTCAGGTGCTCTAGCCAAGCCAGGCGGCCATGAGGCCAAATGCTATGCCACAGGCTAGCACCGTGTCCATCTCACCCAGGCTGCAGGGCCTTGCTGCGGTACTTTGGCACTAACATGGGCATGCCAGCTGGAGAAGTGGAGTCACCCTAGGAATACAAGAGCAGAGCCCTGCACTTATCTTAGATAAGGGCATGGAGGCAGCTCAGGGCCCATCCAAGCTGCCCACATGCCCAGGCCACCCCCACAGCGGCTCTATCCAGGTAGTCAGTGCATCCTAGCTGAACAAAGTAGGCACAGCGGAGGCCACCCACAACAGCTATGTGCGGTTGCCTCACAGAGCCCACCTAGGGGCAGAGCAGACAGCAGGGCACAGTGCTGGGGGGGGAGGTGGCAAGGGTAGGTCAGATGCCAGGAGGCGTCAAAGAGATGGAGGAGGTAATCGGGCACAGCTGGTAGGATGTGGGAAGAGGAGGATGAGGGCTGCTGCTCCTAGCTTCTGTGGGGAGGGATGCAACAAGGGCCAATCCTTGGGACCAGGGAAGACTCTCCTGTCTCCAAGCTCCAGCGAATGGGTGCCTGCATGGGCGAACTAGGCTGGAAAAAAGCCCTGGTCCCAGCCAAACACCACAGGGGTTGGGGGGGGGGTCAGAGCCAGCCCCAAACACCAACAGCCAGAGCCCAAGCCTAGGAGTAGCTGGGGGCGGGGGGGGAACGGACGACAGCACTGACTGCTGGGGCTGAGAGTAATGTGGCAAGGGTGTTTTGTTTTGGTTTTTTTTTTTGGAGCAAGGCAAGCGCCTGGCACATGTTGCTAGCCTTGTACTATCCATGCCCTCAGGCTCTGCCAAGAGCATTGCATAGGTCTCCATGTGCCCCATCCCTGAACAGCAGCAATGGCCCCAAGCAGCAGCACCTCATTCCATCACATCAGCCAGGACTAGGACAAGGTCCCCGGGTAGGAGTAGGCCTCTCCACCCCCGCAGCACCATGGCCTTGCTTCCACCCCACCAGCAGCACCACGTCCAGCCCCAGGCACCCACACCGGGGTGAGGGTTTGCCTAGAGAGGGGCAGCTCCTGCAGTGGCTGCAGAGCAGGGACCTGCAGCTGGGCACAGCCATGGGGAGGGCAGTGACAGGAGGGACCAGGGCAGGCAGGGCCTGGCAAAGCATACACACAGGGAAGTGCCCCCGGAAGAAGCAGCCCAAGGAAGGTGGTTTCTCAAACACACATGAGGCTGATGGACATGTGGGCTCGACCTGGAGTGATGGCAAAGCCAGGGGGGAGGGTGGCTGGGCACTATGCTCCCATGGACCCCGTAACACCCTTTGCTAGTCCTTTCCTGCCCTCAGCTGTGGCTGATGCAGACTGCCTAGCACAGGAGGAGCAGCAGCACCCAAGGGCACCTGCCCCCACCCTGGTCCCAGCCAGCCACCCAGGCTGGAGCAGTGATGTGAGCTCGGGTTGCCCCCATGGTCCCCCTTGCACCCATCACAGGCCCCTGCACCCCACCTGTGCCCCGGGGCCGGCACTCCCTCCACACAGACGCACTGCACCGCACATACAGCGTCACAAACAACCATGCATTAGAAACTGAAATGCTGCTGGGAGGCTCCGGGGCTGCGTGGTTCGGCTCCAGCTCGGTTGCGGCCCTGCGGCACACACAGCTCCGTCCATCGCACACAAACAGTCCCGTGGGGAGAGTCTAGCCGAAAATGCCGCCAAAGGTGGAGGCGATGACGATGCCCAGGATCACACAGCAGATAATGATCATGATCTTCTTCTGCTCAGGTGTCCCAGCGCCAGCAGGAAGAGAGGGGAGTGGTAACTGGGAATGCCATGGGCTGGAGCAGCCCCTACACCCCAAAAGCTGTAGGCTGTGTTCTGCCCTGCCTACCCCATGCCCCTGGCAGGCTCTGACCAGCACTGTGAGAGCCAGATGGCTGAGAACATGGCTGGAAGAGTTGGTCCCCTCCGCTGGGTCTCTGGAGGAGCCAGGCTCCTGTGGAGGGTCTGTAGGGATGGCCTGTGTCACCTGGCCAGGGCCAGGTCTGGGACCAGTGGAAGGCAGCAGCCACCCACCAGACATAAGGCCATTCACAGGGCCAGGCAGCACGCACCAAGCTCAAGGTGAGAGCTGAGCTAGGCCTTCATCATCTCCATCTGTTTCTGGGAAGGGATATGGCTGCTGCAGGAGGCCCGACCCACAGGGGTCCACCCTGTCCCTTTTCTTCCCCCTAGCCAAGCACCCCTGCCTCAAGGTTTGTCTGCCAGAGCTCAGGCAGCCCCTGCCAGGGGAGCTCTGCTGCAGATGATGCCACCAGTGGGACCCACACTAATCCCTGCAGCATGGAATAAACCAGTGCCCAAGTGCATAGGGGCTGTGCTTTGCAGCCTTGCTCATCCCTGCCTAGGGACAGCCAAGAGCCCACACGCAGCCCAGTTGGGAAGGCTGGGGCGGGGGTCCCAGGAAAAGGACCTCTCCTGGGGATGGGGTGCCAGCACTGCAGGGCAGGGAGAGCTGGGAACCAGCCCACACCATGACTCACCCGTCTGGCTTTGCTCTGGTACTTCACCGCTTTTTTGGTGTCAGATACGGCCCGCTCCACGTAGTCCACGGAGTGCTCCACATTGTACTCGATGCGGTCAATCATCTCACCCTGCAGTGCGGGGACAGTGCCCATGCCCCCATGCAGGCAGACGTGAGCTTCTCTGTTCCCCGCTGCTCCTGTGTTGCCCTGCTCCTTGGCACTGTGCGGCTGTCACCCTACCCAGCGACCCTAGCACAGGAGAGAGAAGGAGCATCAGCCTGCCCTGCTGCAGGCAGCAGATACCTCTGGGGTGCTCTATGGGCAGCTGTCTGGACCACGGGCTCTGTGCCACAGAGCAGGCCAGGCTAGGAACTCAGAGAGCTGGGACCCCTGTGCATGTCCCAGCAGGAAGGCAGGCAAGGGGCAGGGGTGTCAAGGTGCGTTCCCCAATCTGGACCCAGCCCGGTGGCCACCCTGTCTCATGTCTCAGGAGAGCATCAAGGCCACAACAGGATTTCCACTGACACCACACACTGAAGAAGCAGGAGGGATAGCAAGGAGAGCAAGGATGGCAACAGCAGAGATACATGGGATGCTCACAAAGCCACAGACATGCAAGGACAAACAGTCTGACCCACACAACCACCCCACAGGGAGCAGAGGCCCTCTGCTTCAGCTCCTGCATCCGATGCTGCTGAGGGTGCCTGCGACTGTTTGGAGGCTGGCAGGACAGGTCCCAGAGCAATTCCCGCTCTGGCTCCCAGCACTGTACATGCAGACTAGAGATGTGGACTCCTGCATGTCCTGGGATGCTGTCTGCAGTGTGCTTCCCATTCACCCCCTTCAGCCTTTCTCCTTGCTGATGCTATAGAGAAGCATCTGGGTCCTATGGCAGCTAAAGCCAGAGTCTGATAGCTTATTTGAATCACAGGAGCAAATAGGGGCAAGGCTGGGGGGAAGAGCCAGCTGGAGACAGCACCCACCAGGCTGCAGGGCTGGGAGCAGAGACAAGCATCAGAGGAAGCCAAGGCTGAGATAGACCTCGCTGGCACTGGCTGCAGTGGGCCCAGGAGCAGCAAGGGGCCACTGCCTCCCCCAGCACAGGGCCCAGAGTCTGCTGCCTTGTACGGCACAGAAGGAAGCTAGGCTGTGGAGCCGGGTGTCATGGCCAGGCAGCCTGGCTCTCCCCAGCCAGCAGCTCTGCAATGCTCTGGTCTCAGCCTCATGATGGAGAGCGCTGCAGAGGATGAGCCTTGCAAGCCTAGGGAGGTTTTGGCACAATCCTCCTGACCCTCACCGGGCTCCCTGCAGCCCGTCTCATGCACACTGATGCTCCAGCATCTGGACGTCTTGCCTAAACCTGCTGATTCCCCTGCCCACCCACACCATGGCCGGAGCATTTCAGACGCCATATGTCTCTGCTCCCGACCTGGCACCCACTCTGCTTCCTGCCTTCTCCGTGCCAGGGGCTTGGAGACCCCCACCCTGTAGAGCAATGCAAGGCGGTGGCACTGTCTCACGGTTAGAGTGGGGCAGGGTGCTGAGAACCCTCACTTTCACCAGGGTCACCAAAGTCCATCAGGCCTCTTGCTTGTCTTCATACCTCAGTTTGAACTCCCATGAAAGGCACATGAGGGCTGGTGGTCCTACTTCCCCACTGCAGCTGAGTCAGCGCAGCAGGCCACACTGCCTGACTGTGGGCCGTAGCCTCTGCCGCTGCCACGTGCTGCCGACGCAAGGCCCACAGTGCTGTACAGAGCCAGGAGGGTTCACCGGAGTCCTCCCCAAGGAGAAGCCCAATGAAGAACCTCCTGCATTCCCTGTGCTACAGTGCCCCAAGCCAGGCAGGGAGCCACAGTGCATGTCTCACACCTGCTCTTAGGCACGTTGTTCTTGGCAGCCCCCAGCAGGCTGGGCACCCTACATGGGGACAGGTGAAGGATGTGAGAGATTTTGGGGCCACCAGCACGAGTAGTGGGCGGGCCAGGCTCCCTTCTGTTCCCAGGGAGGCCCCAGGGACAGGATGTGGCCATGTGACAGGCTGTGACAGGCAGAGCTCTCAGGGATGGAGACAGTCCTGCCAGCAGACACGAGGATCCTGAAGCAACAGCACTGCAAGGGCAGGACACAGGGCCGGAGGTCTCTGAACAGGTGGAGGTGGCCCACCACCCTGCATGAGCTGACCTCCATATGCACTGGGGCCAGCCAGAGGGCACAGGAGAGGCAAAAATCCTTCTCTTAGAGGTAGAGAGGAGTGGAACAGCACTGCCAAAGTCCCTCAACCCTGGGGCCCTCTGTTCCAGCCTGCCACATGGGCTCACAGCCCTGAAGTCCTCCAGCCATCAAGAGAAAGCTCAGATGATACACAGAACCGGGTGTGCCAGCTGTTTGTGGGCAGGCATGGTAGGACACAGAGCCCAGCAGATCAGGGCGATAATGCATCCATGCCACAGCCACTCTTGCCCATTTGCCCATGGGACAGCCCCAGAGCCACATGAGAGCCATGCGCATGCAGGGCACAGCCATGCAGAGCAGAGCATGCAGGCACTGGCAAGGGCCAGGCAGTGCTTTACCTGCTGGTGACGGTATCCTCGGGCCGAGGCAGCATGGCGGGCAAGAACGGGGGTGAGCAGGGACACGGGAGCATTTCCTGGGCGGAGGGGCCAGGCCTCGCTGCACAGCAGCGTAATTCCTGGGGCAGGCTGACAGGGCCCACTGACGCCCTGGTGGCACCTGGTGCCAGGAGCCCTCCCAGCAGGAGTGCTCACACACTTGCCTGCACACAGCTTCCCAGTGCTGGTTGGGACGCAAGGGGAGACAGACTTCCCCTGCCTGGGTACCAGCCACCCTCTAGCTCCCTCTGGAGCCCGTCTCCATGCCTCTCACCCCAGAGCATGCAGCAGCACCCTATAGGGTGCAGGACAGCGGGGTGGCCAGCCTGCCAGCC